ATATCGAAAGCAAAACAGTTTTGTAGTTATTACTGGAATTTAATGGACAAGGTTTTATTTTGTGAGCCTCCCCTTCGCTTTCGTAACATCAAAATGTCGTAAGTATTCCAGTTTCTATTCCACTTTTCAATACAACTTCTGAATTTCATGGAATATTATTAATATTAGATATAATTTAGATATCTCTTCCCCTATTCTGAATTTATATTATTTATATCTAGACTCTGGAATTCCTTCCCGTTGCTCCGTCGAATCCTAGGGTTTGTTCGCTTCTATAAGACAGCGTCCTCTTATTTTTCACGTCCACGGATGTGTAACGAGACCCGGGGAGCTCCTCCTCCTATTTTTTTCTTCCGCCGCGAAGAAGTCGGAGACCGGAGACTTTGAAATTGGCACGCGGGATGATTTTAGCCGGTTCGAAGCCCGAGCCGAGGGCGGGACAGGAGGGAGGGTCGCCCTCGACCCGCTGGCGCCAGCGCGACAAAAACCTTTTTTCATAATCGGCCGTGTCTCCCCTCGTTTCCTCTCGGCTCGCCCTCCGACAGGGGAACAGAAAATCACCGAATCTGAACGTTTCCTCACCTCGTAACGCTTTAATACCTGAATGACAGAAGCCTCGATTCAGAATATTTACTTTTCCTCCACTCCAGTCGAAATTTCTCAAACTCGATTTTTAAAAATATATCTAGAAGAGAAACGATCTTTCGTCCTTTATCCGAGGAAAGACGTCCTCTTTCATTACGAGAAATATAAAATAATTTAAATTTGATTGAGATTCTGGATTTTATTTTAGAAGACCAGCGAGGGAATTGATTAAAGGCTCCAGAAAAAGGAAGAGGCAGTAATAGATAGCATCTCCGGACGCGATCGCCGTTTCTTCATCGCGAGTAACGGTCTCCACCCGGTAGAGAAACACGGAGGAGGCATCCCTTCATTAACACGTACTTTATCAACGGCTGTTAATGAATCACGTGTTCATATATATCAGCCCGGAACGACTCTCGCGTGTTTTTCCAAGAGCACGTTGATTTATAAAAGACCACGAAAATCCGACCACGTCCAAATAAAAAGGGCCCAACCCCTTTTACCCGGCGCTCTTAACAGCTAAAAGCGGCACCTTTGACGGAATTCATTTTTTTTATCAATTTCCTACGAGTAAAAGAGACTGCTCTTAAAAAAAAAAAAAAATTGATTATTATCGAGTCCAATGATAAATTCGGAACCCAGCTTGAGTGGAACGGCTGATTTATGGCGTGGTAGGGACACCCTGTGGAATTGTCCGGGCCACCCTCTACCGGAAGCACGCCGTGAATACCGAAGAGGGTTGGGTGCTCCTCGGATGGAACCCGCCCCTCCGCGGCTGCGTACCACGTAGGAAAACCGACGGACAAACCTCAGTTATTTTTGTGATCGAATCTCAGATAATTAGACTTCTCAATATGCATCTTTTGGTATCCTTGCATATTTTTTTATATGTCAGTCAATTATATTATTTTTTATATGTCAAGCAATTATTTATTGACACAGAATTTAATAATTTATTCTATCAAGACTTTCTAAAGTTGTACGAACCCTTACATAAAAAAGAAAAAGTTTATTGCTTCAAATATTAGACACAGCTTTTATTGTCTTAAACTTTTGGCAGAGATTTTACGGCAACCTTAATAAGAAAGATGAGACAATTGACATTGGATTAACCTTGTAAATCTGGACACGATGATATTAATTGATCGGACTTCTACTCGATTTTCTAACGCGTATCTTCATTTAATCGATCAACGGATCGTTTTCTCTAACTCTGATTGCTTTCCCGAGCGCAATCAATCAGAAATTCTTGCATGTGGTTCGAAAATAAACCAGCAGCGCAGCAGTTTCGGAAATGTGTTTATACACGCCGGTCGAAGAAGCTTCACCGAGATAATTCCCGGTGTCTTTTTGCTCCGTACGAAAACGAACGAGTTTGCGTTGGCGGCCGCAGCCAATCGCATTGTGATTTCGCGGTAAATCGGCCGCAATTTACTGTTTCCACGTTTCGGATCGTTTTAATTATCGGCGAAAAAATTCCATAAATCTCGAATAATTAGGCGCGACTTCCAGTCTAACGTAGGGCATAAATCGTCCACGATTTTCGCCACGCAAATTCAAGTTCACAGAATTTCCCGGTAAAAAATTGATCTCTTTTAAACGATAATTAAAAGAATAAATTACCCAGTCTTTTCTAATGAAAATTATAATTGATTATTATTATTACAGATTAAAGTGATTTCGTATAAACGAGTTAAGCAGGATTTATAAAGACAATCGAGAGAGAAGTTTGGATAAGTAAAAATATCAATTTGATTGTCGAACGGAGATGGGATGGACGAAGATAGTAATCGCCTTCCGTTCGCCGTAAATCTTTTGGTATGAACGATGGCGATAGGGTTCGCCGGCACGAAAATAGAATTTTTTCCTGGCCCTCGTAAAATANCGATTTTCGCCACGCAAATTCAAGTTCACAGAATTTCCTGGTAAAAAATTGATCTCTTTTAAACGATAATTAAAAGAATAAATTACCCAGTCTTTTCTAATGAAAATTATAATTGATTATTATTATTATTACAGATTAAAGTGATTTCGTATAAACGAGTTAAGCAGGATTTATAAAGACAATCGAGAGAGAAGTTTGGATAAGTAAAAATATCAATTTGATTGTCGAACGGAGATGGGATGGACGAAGATAGTAATCGCCTTCCGTTCGCCGTAAATCTTTTGGTATGAACGATGGCGATAGGGTTCGCCGGCACGAAAATAGAATTTTTTCCTGGCCCTCGTAAAATATTTATATGCGCAAATAGTAGCGAGCGGAGTCGAAAATAGAACAAGTCGATAAAGTACAGTATAAGAAAGAACAGTAGGTTTGTTCATTGTTTTCTAATAATAAATTCTTCTCTTTACCGTTATTCATCTCATCGTTTTATTTCAGTTTCGCACTTATGAGATCGTAGAAAGTGTTTCATTACAATTCATGTTATCTATGGTTCTTAAAACGAAATCCGCGAAGAGAGAAGTCGAGTGTTTTTCAAGAACAGTCCTGATCCTCTGAGCTGTTGAAACACCGTCGAAATCGCTCGAACTCCGTGGTCACGCCTACCAAACAGGAAATTAGCTGCCGACAGACGGTTCGAATTATACATTTCTCGGGAGAGCACTCTTTTTCTATCTTCCGCCTCGATTTTGCCTTATCGGCCACTTCAAACAAAAAGAGAACACTCGTTCCCTTTTACGAAGTGTCACTTCCTCTGTGGAATTAAAAATGCACACGTACGATCCTACTTATTTATTCCCAGTGACATTTAGAAGGACTTGTACGATTCGAAACGAATTCTAATTTAATCGGAGATGCGTATAGCCTGTGAAACTGGCTCCTGTTTCACCGTGGTTCCTCTTTGCTTATATTCTAAACCACTGAGCTTCTTTTTATGCGAGCTTTCCGTGTGAGTAGTCGCCGACAGCTGCCACCACCCGTAAGATCCGGTTCACACGATTCTCCTCCTTGCTCGTCTTTTTCACACTTTTACAACAACTTTCTAAATTTTTTTCATAATAATCCATCTTCGTCTTCTAACACATTTTCTTTATTAAATTTATTCTTAATATTGTAGGACGATGTTGGACCGAGATGTTCACGGAGGAAGAAGCCGATGATCTTTTTTGTCGGGGAGCACTTATCAAGGACGTTGAATTCGCGATACGGCGACAGTGTCGGCGTCGAGTGTCTGGTAAACACTAAACGCATTCATTCCTCTCTCTACTGACCCACATTCGCAGAAGTCGCTATCTCTCCTCTTCGCCTCGTTCCACCAGCGAACAATCACTCATAAATTCAGAGTACAGATCTGTCGTTTCACACGGATCCTTCCTCGTTTCCTCGACCAAAACACCAGAGCAATTTTCAAACCATACTTTCTTTCTATTCTACATTTTCTGGATTTATTATCTATTAATATGCTAAACCATTAGAGCTCAAGGAGACCATTGGAGCTCGATTTTCATTCTCAAGAAAGAATTCAATCATCATAAAAAAAATTTAATGAAACAGCAGTGATTTCTATCAACAATTAGCTAATGAATATAGTTTGTACAATGGAATGCGTTACTGCATTTTTATTTAGCAGTATTTAATCTAAAAAGGAAATTGGAATTTGGATTGTCAAGTATCACCTGCCTGTCAGGTTCCCCCATTTCGTTTTACTAATTTACTAATTTCGTAGTCGGTGTTTGATTCAAAGAAATACATAGCAGTCGTAAGCGTGTCAGGGAACATCAAAGCACGTCACATTGTCAGACAGTCCCTCTGAATTCTGTTCCTTATTCATTAGCCCTTGAATCCAGGCGACTCAAAGTTATTTAAAATATTATTCTCCATATACGAATTTCGTTATATTGTACTCGACTTGATTTTAATTCATTGATATCATGACTTTCTCGAACTGGTTTTCACAGGAATAGATATTATCATTTTTCTAAATTAAATTAAATACTCCCCAGTTATTTTGTTTCATTGATTATAGACATCTCAAATTTGCCTATTCATGAAAAGGTTTTAATGTCAAAGGTATTTGATTATAAAGCCGGTCATGTATCGAAGATTATAAATCAGCCGTATATATCAGAATGCATAGAAAAAGAAGAGTACATTTATAGACCGTGTCTTCATGGGAGACAGCATTCATTAGACGCACCGAGTACGCGTCAGACAAGATAAAAAAGATCAGAAAAATTGATTCGGTCCACGCTCGTGGGAAGCCGAGGTCCTAACAAATTCTATCTATTTATCTATTTAACGTAACATTAAATCCCGTTAGAAACATGACTATAAATGATTTTAACTTCCATTTATTATCTACTTCACTGCTTCATACACGTATGTTAGATTTTTTAACGCACATGTCAAATCGAGATATAGTTGACAGTTTGCGATTGTCGTATATCATCGTCACGCAGAAGATGACCGATTCGTGATGGTCAGGTCAAAGGGAAACGTTAGAAGGGTTGGACCGTACAGAGAATACATGCAGCTCAGGTCAATGTCGACACGACCACCTCCTTACACAAACGCCGACAGTCAGAGATTCATAGAATTGAAAGACAACCAGAAAACGAGGAAACAAAATGGTTTTAATTCATTAACCTTGATTAGATAGAATTTATTCTCTAAAGAGTGATTCCCTCTTAGATAAAGTACAGAGTAAAATCGTGTCGGAAGAGGAGGAGGAGGATTATTCTGTTCCAGTGGTGATTAGAAACGTGAAACCTTCGTGTTGCAAATACATCCTTTATTCTCTTACCGGAGTGCTATTGTTCGTCCTATGCATTTTTTGCATGTACCTGGTGTTTCCTTATCCCATACACGCCTCTTGCATAGTAAAATGGTATACTCCATAAGAATGTAATAAATAATTTCAAAGCGTATCCCTTGAAAAAAAATTGTATAAACTCTGTTCGTACGGTGGCATGTAAAAAGCTTGGGAAAAATTCTGTCTGGCTGTCTAGTCTGCAAACAAGCTCCGAGAAACTCAATATCGGCGGTGTATTTTTCCTTGCCTCGAAAAATATACGAAGCCACGCTTTTCTCTGCGTGCGCTTTGAACTTTCCGAAAAACGAATGAAAATAGTCGATCTCTAATGAAATTCTATTCCTCCCCAGGAAGTTCGAAGATCCGTGTACGTTCACTATGCAGAAATTCAGGTGTCAGATACTTAACTGGTCCTCCTGCGTGAACTGCAGTCCGCGTGGCAACAGATGTTTATACAGAGTAAAGATAAAGCAATCATTTCTGTTCGTGCATTTTATATGCAACATCTTTTTTAATACTGTAGCTTAAAGAACCGAAACCGGATGAGAGTAACGTTATCAGAGCCGTGCACATTACCCCGAATTTGAAAACCGTAGAGAATATCAGAATCGATTTCAAGGAGATTAACAAATCCTGCGTGGCAACAGTACGTATAATCAATCATTCTTTTAACTGCTGATACATTAGCGACTGTTATTGATGAAGGGAGAATCCGTGTCGAGCGAATGGTTCAGGATATTCGATTATGGGATGAATTATTGCAATCTGCATAATTTGGCGACTGGTATCGGTTTCAAGTTCTTAGAATTGACGAACAACGCGATTTGCACGCAGCACAATATGGCTATTTGTAATTAAAAAAAAAAGGATTATTGTTTTGTGAAATATTTTAATTCAGTACACGTGGATATTTTCCAATAAAACCAAAGAATATAAAGTCAGATTCTTTCATTACTTCTAGCATGACAATGGGAGGATTTATAAAAATAAAATACAACTAATCGATAGAACTAACTTACGAAATAAGATATTAAATATTTAAATACATATATAAAATACATAAACATTAAGTCGCTAATTGTCTTCTCATCTTAGAGTAAACATTGAGCACATCGCACTAGAATTATGTACAGTTACTGAAAGGCACTCGTATTGGTAGTCAATTGATTATAAAATTTGTCTAACATTCCGGATAAATATTATGCTCCGTTTCATTCAATTCAGAGATTCCTCAGTCCTCGGTAACAGAGTATCCACCAATGTGCCTGGCGCAGTAACGATCGTTTGTCGTATGCATCCGACACTTCCTCCCGCTTTTCGTTATAGCCGCGCACCTCGTCGTGAACGACGGAGTAACACTGGAACAAACCATGAAATTTGACGTTACGCTCTGTAATATTTTACTTCGCGGAATATTCACGTACCTCCTCGATGATGATTGTTGATGTGAGGAGTATGTGCTCGCTCCTCTCATTTGCCTCTGCATTCTTCGTCTCAGATCGTTGGCATCGATCAGTTTATCGAGATCGTCGTTACTCTCGTTAACTAAATGCGAATGCTCGAAATCTGTCATGTCCTCGGATATGCTTGGGAACTCGGATTCATAGTTGCGGATAAGATCCTCGCGAGTCCTTCTCGACGAAGTGTAAGAGCAAGAGAGCTCCTCGCGCTGTGGCCAGCTCTGCTTGCTCCATGATATAACTGACTCTACTAGCGATCGCACTATTCCTATAATAAATAGCATAAATGTTTTCTGATACGAACAGCACAAATTTTAAATTGATAATACTTACGAATGCATCGATTTATTTGGTAACTCAAGGAATAGTAAAGTGCTCGAACATTTCTTTTCTGTTTGGCATAAAATGTTAAATTGGGAGTCTGTTCGGATTGGAGATTTGAATAAGAGGACGAAACGTAATGTCCGTTCGCGTGGCCGTTTCGTTCGATCACTTGCACCGGTTCGGCTCGCATTTGTTGTTTCGGTCCGAACAGACGTTGAATGCCGACCATTAAAAAGTGCACTAAAATCAAACGAGTACATTAAATTAAAATCCAATGTTTTTCTTTTTTATTGTAATAGACGTACTCATCGTGATTAGTATTATCAACACAGTGATTGATGGGAAATCCAAGCAGGCGTCCATGCCGTGTTTCAAATAAGAGACCAGGTTCATTGGCACAAGTCCCATAATTGTGATCCTGGTAAGCAACGGTGCATGAAGGAACGCAGCGATCACCATGCAGCATAATAAATAAACTACATGCAGTCCTATTCTATATATTCTATGCATTTGTTCCCCTAGATAATTAAAACAAAATTAAGAATCACATTAAGATTTCATTAACAAAGACAACAAATGATTACCCGTGTCTCCGATGTAATTTGTCAACCAGTTAAGCTTCTCGTCGACCTCTGCACGCATGCTGTTCGTTATGTTCCAAATGTATTGCACCGTATCGTTGATCTGCGCCAATTTTTCTAATGTTCGCTCGTAACGAGAGAGCGCCTCTTCGTGCTGAGCGAAAATTCGTTCGGTGCTCGATTCGATCTTTTCCCAGATCAATTCCGCTTGCATCTGAATGTTCACCAAGTCCTCGAGTATTTCTTTATGATTCTCGCCGTGCTCGATGGCTTGTTGTTTTAAATTTCTGTTCGCCTCCTCTGAACAAGAAGAAATAATTAAATATCTGCAATCATTTTGTTTTTCACTACTTAATTACCTAATTTCTTTCTTATGTCGTCTGTCATTGCTGCAAGTTGCGTGTGTCCCGAACGTATCAACGCTTTTTCGTTATTCAATTCCCTTAAATTCGACGTCACGAGATTGTAAGCCGACGCTTGAGCGTCTTTCAAGTATTTCTGTTGCTCCAGCAATGCCTCGTTGCCTTTAGACAGAGACGATAATGCTTCTACTGTATGCTCTTCTAAACGATCTT